ATTAGTTATTCTACTGGCTGTGGGGAGTTACTGTAGGTATAGTAACACACATAATGTACACGTGTTGGTGCGAGTGTGGGGCCAGAATTTAAGTTGAGACAGCGTCTGTAGTCGATCACAGCGGCTCAGACCCTTTACTGGAGTAAAAGTACTAATACCACACTGTTAAAATACTCCACTAAGAGTACACATCCTTCATTTAACTCCTTCACATACTGTTGGCTCGTTTAATCCACATCACCGCATCATATTCTATAAGATCATCATGTGTTTGTAGCTGACAAGAGTTTATTTAGCTGAAGACGTAGGAGGATTTTCTCAATATCTAAATCAACACATCTGGAGATACGTGGTTTTCACTGGACAGAACTGTAATCTTTAAAGTAACTAAAGCTGCCAGACAAACTTAAATACAGTATTTGGGTAAATGTACTTGGAATGTGCTGCAATAATATTCATAATTATAGATATAATAAAAAAAGACAAATGCCAACATTTAGTATTAAGTTTAATTAATTCCGAAGCAAATGAAACCGAAATGTTTAAATCTGGTTCAGTCACAACTTAACTGCTTATAAATTGAGCTCCCACTGAAACATGTAATGCAAGTGTTTATTTTAAGTTTAATTCAGTCAACAATAAATTACTCGGCACTGACTTTCAAGGCACTTTATTTAAAAAGGCACTCGAGGCATCAGAAGAACTTTACGTTCCTCAAATGATGTGTTTAAAGGTTCATGCAGAGCATTAATATGGCAGCAACCAGCTGTTATCTGTGTAAGGATATAGTGGAAGTGAGAGCTAAACGCTGTTAGCTCCGTCAGCACTGTTACCATCATTTGCGCTGTTAGCGCCGTTGGCTGCAAGAAAATACAAATGCTCCCATTATCATATTCGGCACCTTTTTTCTGAGGACAGGACAAGATTTGTATTGAACAATATCTACTGTACATTCATATAAAAATGTACAAAGTACCTTCCAAAGAATTTAGTGTGAATTTTAAGGTGGATTTGGAAGCACGAAGTTGCTCGATCAAACCCCTGGAACGGCTGAGAACATGTAGGCGGCTGAAATGAGCAGTTCTACGTACTCGTTTTGTGTTTGAGCAACGCTCTGAAGCTTTGAATATAAACTGTGGTACAGTAAAACACATGTTCTTACTCATTGTGTACACGTGGGCTATGATTTGTATTCGTATGAGATCCCGATCTCATTCCTCTGAAGTGTGGATAACTCTGCCTGTCCTCACCTCGTCACGGGGTATGTTTATGAGTTGTACTCACAGTATAGTTTGTTTAAATTGTGTTTTATATTTCTTCTCAAATGTACTCTGAAATAGAAAGGATTCTGGAGGGCTGGTGGTCTGGATTACATTTTCCGTCTTTGGCGGCCACACTTAATAATTTAGCCAAATGTAATTATAGAGCTAGAAACATAGTTTTTCGTTTAGCCATGCTCGTGTACAAACCTCGGCAACAGGAACACATTGTAGTCTGGTCGCGATGAGTGGATTCGTTCGTCCATCTCGATGCCAGCCGCAGGACATCGCAGCATATTTTCCAATATTGTGGACCAGTAACAACTGAGGGAGGATTTCTGACTCAATTAGTGTTTGTTTATTTAGCAATCCTACATTTTATGAGCCACAGATGTTTCTTTAGCAGAACTAATCTCATTGGTTCAGATGCGCGGGGAGGAGCCAATGAAAATGAGCTAAAGTGCAAAGTGGAAGCAGGATCTTTAATTAGATTATAAATAAAATAAATAATGATTTTTAAGAATATTTTCTACCGGTTTACTTTGCCGTGAGACGGACGTTTCCAACGGGGAACTGAAGCCGATGTATCCGTCTACGCTCTCGCCAAAGCTACCAGATACCATTGGGGGGAAAAAAGAAAGATTTAACGGTTGCTGGTCAACCGCTGCCTCCATCAGTGTGTTTGTTTGCATCATTGTGCGACTTCGGTTAGTTCGGATTCACCAAAGAGACTAACCAACAGAGGCAGCGGTGGACCAGCAGCCCTCGTGGTTTTTGGGGTAAAATGACTGGTTTCTTCAACGGAGTGTGGGAGCTTTGGCAATGTTTTTAAGAGTGGTACCACATACAGAGGGGACGCGATGCACAATCGGTCGGTCAACAGTCGGTGGCGCTAACATGACAAAGAAATGTAGCAGTGCACCAAAGGAAGCAAGACAGAAGAGGGATGCTAGCCAGCGAACATGGGTGTAAACTATTTAAACTGTCTAAAAATTGACTTTACAAATGTTTCTATGTTACTAGTCTTCAAAGATACACAATTCATTTAGGTGGGAACCAGTGAATGTAAACAAGTCCACAGGGAACCTTTTCAACACTATTATAGACGATGATCTGCTCCGTTTGTATCGCCAGTAACCAGCGGTGGCTTGGTTTTGTTTTTCACTCTCCAAGCAAAAGAAACTGTTGCTTTTGGACGATTTAAAAACTCGGAACATGGCTTGTGATGGATTTCCTTTGGAAGTTATGTTCAGCAAGCCGCAACACTTTTATAAATATGAACACAGCATGGGTCTCACGGATGGGAGCTCAGAGCGGAGCTGGAAGCTGGTCTCAGTGCTGATTTACACTGCGTGATTCACAGTAACTGCTCCGGTATCTCCCCCCCCCCCCACCACTGATGGAGGACAAATGATGGACGATGCGTGCGGCTGGCCGCCTGGCAGTTTTCTAACGCTACGAACCTTTAGAAATGGAAAAGCACTTTTGTGCAGAGCCAAACACAAGACCGAATTAATAACACCCACAGATTTCTTTGCATAAATATGGAACATGGGAGCTATTCAATAACAAACACAACTGCCAAGTTAAACAGTATTGGGCTGTGGTCTCGTATTGGATTCACAGCAGACCGCTAACTGTTAGTTTCAAATGTCAACACACACACACACACTCTCCCTAACTCAAATATATATATACCTATATATTATATGAAGTGACACTCCAATAAGCAGTTCTGTCCAGCTGATCTGATTTTAATTGGCTAATAAGCTGTATTCCTTTGAGAAGTATAAGTTTGAGCTGCACTTTTCTCCCAAATCTGATATGATCACCATGTCTACGTGAATGTTCTGTTGGTGAGCAGAGGGAAAGGTCGTGGGTTTCATGGGAATCGGAGACTTCAGTGCAGGTTGTTTTTTCTCTGAACTCCAGCACACTGAATCTGAAAAACAACAGTGAGTGACGTTAAAGTCTCAAAATTTAAGTTGAGCTCAGCTTTTTGTTTACAGAGTCCCCAGATCTTCGTAGACTGAAATCTAACACGGTAATGTAAACATAATGGAGTCATTCTAGTAAATAAATGTTCGTTTGACGGGCTCTCTGGTCTTGTTTTTTGTTGTCAGGTTTTGCCAAGTCTTACAAATCATCATTCTTTATAATGCATTTATGAATACTTGACTTTGTTCTTTACAGGGCTTGAATAAAGGCAATAAAGTAAACCATGACAACTAGATTTCAGTTCACAGTTAATTACAATCTCTCCTCGGCGTTGTGGAGGTTGGTTTATGCTGTTTTACCGGTTTCACTCGTTGTCGTCTTGGTTCTTCAGTTCGTTTTGTTAGTAAGCCCTCCGGTGTTTCGTTTCTAAATTTGCATAATCATTCAGTTGCAAAAATAAGTAAAATTGTATAGAAGTCTATGAGAAAATGACTCTACTTCTCTCTTGATTTATTACCTCAGTAAACATTGTAAACATGAGTTTATGGTCTCAATCTCTAGTTTCAAGTCTTCTTCAATACAGCATGATGTTCATTTAGTACATTATGGTCCATTTAGAGTCAAATAGACCATAAAGCAGGGGTTGCTTTAGGGCGGGGCTACTGTGATTGACAGTCACACCTCTACAGTCCAAATATGGTAACTTCTGTTTTTTGGTTGTGGAAAAACATGGCGGCTGTAATCCAAGATGGCGATGGCGAAAATCGCCGAACTCAAGGCTTCAAAACATCAGTCCACAAAGCAACGGGTGACTACACGATGACTACGTCCACTTCTTATAGACAGTCTGTGGGTAACATGGCAAGAGCATAAAAACACCGATCACCTAATATGGATGTGAACAACGTTAAACCTCGAAACTGAGAGTCAGAGACAAAACAATAAAAAGTTTCCCTATTCAAACTTATTTTAGTGTTTGGTTTACATGTCATCAATTATAGAGCAGATTTGGGATGACATGTCCCCGACAATTAATGTGTTTAAGATTAAGAGCGTGGAACTAACACAGCGGGCTTCTTCTTCATCTAACCCAAAGTGAAGTGACAGTGACAGAGCTGGTGACGGAGCTCACTCTGCGGGGTTCTGCAAATGAAAAACAGTTCAACTCGGAGAGACTTTAATAAACTGAGCAGCGAGTCATGATGTTGTGCTGCCTGCAAAGAAGCGTGAACAAAGGGATCTGTGGAGTAAATTCCAGCTGAATTACCGTCGACTTCTTCACAGCAGTGGGACGCTTCATTGATCTCTGGAGGTATTCTCTGGTCTCGTTGGCGCGCTGCTGCACAGGTGAAAGGTCAGGAGTCAGCAGCAGACGATCCTGGTGAGCATTGACCTAGAAGTCTAGATTAAGAGACACTTCAGTGTTTCTACATTACCTGAAGGCACCGTAGTGAACAGAGGGGTGTTCAGCTGGTTGCAATCTGCCGCCTCACCTCTAGATGTCACTAAATCCCACACACTGCTCCTTTAAAACAAATCAACTACGATCTAACAAAAAAAAGCAAAGACCCGAAAATAAATTCCCAAAAACAATCCAAATGTGTTCTGCTTTTTCCTCTTGCACATGTATTTAGTAATTTAATCCTGTGACCTAGATTACATTTGTAAAGCATTTAAATGTGACTGTGTGAAGGTTATAACTGTTGAGATCTAGTCGTTAAAATGCCTTTGAAACAATAGTTCTTTATGACTTTGATTTTCTCAGGAAACTTGCTCTCCACGCTGTAAAAGCCCACGTACACATTCAAGGTTCAAATATTTGTTTTATTTTCTCAGCAACAAACGTGCTACACATGTTCACAGCTACAGAACCGTCCAGTACAAGCACACATTCAATGCAGACGTTTTCCCAGATGGCCCGAAGGGGCTTTTACGCCGCTGTAATCAGAGTGTGTGTGTGTGTGTGTGTGTGTGTACACGTTGCATTATCGCCATCGCTCGACATTGTTTTCAGTGATCTGTTGGTGCCGGTCGGAGTGCAAGGAAGAAAAGTGATTGTTGAAGTTCACCCCGGATAATAAACCGACCCGAGGCCCAGGTTTACGTCTGACGGAGAGAAACCCAAACGTGAGCAGGTGCTCCACACCCGGCAGAAAAAAGAACAAAAGATAGCAGCTAAAAACAGCAATCAAACTAAATGAAATTTGCCTCCAATTTTGTGCTTTGCACAGAAAAATAAAGAGTGTGTGTGTGTGTGTGTGTGCTATGAAACAAACCACAGTATACGGTAACCCGGCATAGAGTAAATACACACAGGTATGTGTGAACTCTCTCTCTCTCTCTCTCTCTCAGGGAAAACAAAGCTACACAATGTGTGTGTTTAGTTTTATGAATTGTCTGAGCCCTTTGAACAAACATGGGTGCGCACACACACACACACACACTCTCCCTGCATGCCGCCGACTGATCACTGACAACTACCAGATGGCAGTGTGGATAAATGAGTGTGTGTCTTTACAATGTGACACGGCATGTGTATGTCTGCGGAGCACAGACGAGTCTGGAGGTGGTGTGTGTGTGTGTATGTGTGTTGCCAGATAAAAACAGCGTGTAGGGGTCCAGTCGGCGCTGGTCAGCGCATGGTTTATGTCTGTGAATATCCTCTCTCGCTCCATCCAAATCTTTCTTTCTGTGCGTCTGTGTCTTGTTAGTAAATCCGCTCGGTGCCTTTTTCCTTAAATTCACCTTTTCTTCCTGTTTGCTTGCTGAACTGGTTTCTATGGTGTGTGTGTGTGTGTGTGTGTGTGTGTGTGTGTGTGTGTGTGTGTTGTGTTTCAGTGTCACAATGGTGCAGAATGTCTGCGCGTGTTCCCATGAATGTGTCCGTGTTGCCAGTTCTGCTGCTGCGTCACCAATTTACTCTTTGTTTTCTTGTTGGCAGCTCACTTTTAATGGGGTTAACTAGAACGATACGTGGCTGGTAGTTGCATATTAACGGAGGAGTTTTGTTTGCCGTCTTGCAAAGAAGTTAAAGGTTAACTTTGGTACCAAATTGATGCTTAGCTTAGCACAAAGAGTGGAAACAGCGAGCCAGGCTAGGTGTTTCCCTCTCCTTCCAGTCTTTGTGCTAAGCTAACTGTCCCCTGTCCTCCATTAAAAATCTTGGCAAGAAAGTTGCAAGAGTTTTCTTTTAATGTTTTATCTGCTAAAACGATGCAAGTCTGCTCAATTTTCTCGTCTCTCTTTTGGTGTCCAGATGTTTTTGTATTTCTGAGGACCTTTGTTTTAATGTTGTGTGACATCTTTCATTAATCAGTGATTTGCAGGACAGAAGATTCGGCAAAATTTGGTGCAAAAGTGATTCTTGTTTGATGCGTCTAGTGACGCTTCAGTGAGTGTTTTTAATGTGAAGCGGCTCTAAACCATCTGAACCTTGGCGTCCGTGTTGTTGTGTTTGTGAGCCGTCATCTTGTTCCCGCTCTGTTTTGTCTCTGCTCGGTTGCTCGACTGACCCTTCAAATATAAACCGAGTGCAGCTTCACAGAGTCGAACCAGAAAGACGAGATATTAAACATTCTTTACGAGAAAAGAGAGAGATTGTGAAGTGAAAGAAACGGAAGAGAGATCAACACCACAGGCCGGTCGGGCTGCACACCGCCCTCATTCTTATTGTCCTTTTTACAAGATTTCTGCCTCCTCCTGGTTTTCATTCCTCCTCTTGCTTGCAGACTCGTTTGTGAGAAGCAACACAGAGTGCCTTTTTATTCAACAGTCTCATTACTGTATCCAGACGAAGCAATCCCTATCCTCTTAAAGACAGTCTCTGCATGTGACCCACAGATCTAGTGTTGTATAAAGTCCTCGGCAAAATCCAAGTGGTTTTAAGTCCAGTCAATGTAAAATACATAAGAATTACTTTCAAAATCACCACAGTTCATTGTCTAAAAGTCTCAGCCATTCATATGTACAGCGCTCTGATGGCACGCTTTAAAAAAAAAAAAAAAGTGTATTCCACTTTTGTTGCTTTGGTTTGATCATTTCACTTTCTTTTGTGTGGTATGTGTACATTCTTCGGTCTTGAATCCAAATCCGAGGGGTTCCCGACTGCTTCGCTGACGTGCGAGAGATACTGAGATTCATGTGTTGTTTTGGGGGGAAACAGGCAGCAGGGTGGCCTCATGTTTTTGAGCGATTATAAGGTTTCTAGTGTGTTTTTTTTTTCTTGTGGACATCCAAAAAGCGTAATTTTCCTTCCCCCAAGACGGGACAGAAAGAATACCCTCACATTTATTTTTCACGTGGTTGCACATGTATCTTTGTATATCTTGCTCTCGGCAGTTAGGTTTGTGCTCAGCGGAGAGTAAGGAATTCCTTTCACTCAAGCGAAGCCTCCAAACCCCCAAAAAATCCTTCCGTCCTTCATTATATCCGTCCAAGCAAACTGAGGAATCCAAGATCCCACAGCTCTGCCTTAAATGACACTCGGATATTCAAAAGGCCCCCGTCCCATTTATCCATCTGCTCCTTTTTTAAAAGTAATTCTTCCCATCCCTTCCTCTCAGAGGTCCAGGCGGAAGGCGCCGAAGTAGCTGGAGGAGTCGTCGGCGTTGACCATGGTCGGGGAGGAGACGGAGACGAAGAGCTCGTCGCCGGCCCTCAGCTCGAACAGCCCCCCCTGGTAGACGGAGTGCAGGGCGTACTCGGCGTCCGGAGCCCAGCACTTCGTTCCCACCCCCTTCAGGAGCTGGATGCAAAAAAAGGGGGACGGTTGAAAAGGTAAGACGGATGTTTGCGAACCACTCGACAGCACTGAGAATGATGGTGGGGCTCACGTACCTGTATGGGACTCGGGTAGGAGGTTTTCTTGTAGACGCACTGCACCAGCTGGTGGCTGACGCTGCGCTGGTCTCCGTCACTGGCTGCTGGGGACGGATAACGGAAATACACCTGGAGGCAGGAGACAGCCGAGCAGGGAGATATAATAGATATTAGGGTTGTTCCACTCGTTTTGTAGAGGCATGCATCAAAAAAAAACACCATTATCTGATTTATTAATCCTAAAAATGTTCCATAAATGTGTGAGGATTACCAAAATGTGGATTTATAGCTTTTCTTTCTCCTTCTCGTTTGTCATTTGAGCTGAATTGCAAATATCAAACAAGTAGTTGGCAAGAAAGAGGAAGAAGTTTGCTCCATATCGCCATAGAAGCAAGAACAAACGGAGGTTTTCCTCTGAAGTAAACTGCTCACCTGTGAGTACAGGTAGTACCGCCCGTCCTGAGGCACTCGCAGCTTCCCATTGGACAGCGTCATGTTGTGCAGGTGAGCTCCGAAGCTCTGATTGGCCCACGTGCGGACTACGTGGCGACAGGACTGGTGGAGACCCGGCGTGGGGATCGGGTAGGGAGGGAACCCTGCTGGTGAGGAAAATATATATATATTTATACATAGAGACCAGCTCGTCTGCATCGGGCTTTACATATTTCAACAAGCATCTCTCCTCCTGTGCATGTTTGCATCATTTCCTGTCTCTCTACTTTGTGTGTGTGTGTGTGTGTGTGTGAACCTCAGCCTCTCTTCCTTCTTCCCTACACGCACGCACGCACGCACGCACGCACGCACACACACACACACACACACACACGCGACACCATTTTTGCCCTTTGTCAACTCATTGGAAATAACATCAGTCGGCCTCTGCCAGATTGTCAACACCCTTCAGCTTGCACGCCAGTCTCAGATGCAGCAACACAAATGTCTGAACACACACACACACACACACACACACACACGAAAACCACATTCCAACTTTACAACACGCATACGCTCCATTATTCTTGTGCGACGACAGAAATATCTGTTAAACGTCCGATACACCGCACAGAATCAGCTGAAGTACATTTTACTCCAGGATGGAGAACAGGAAGTGACATACGCAGATAAAAGAGGAATGACGCAGTCTAAATAGCTCGTATAAGTGTTACTATATATATTGTGTGTCTCTCGCTCTTATAAAGCAGCATGCTGTAGCGCGTCTCCGTCCAGCATTTAAATAGAAATATATGAAAGTCTTTGTTCTTATTTGGATTTGTGCTTTCATTGCTGAGCACACAATAGAAAGAGCTGCACTCCAGCAGCCACAGACCTAATGAACCTCTGACCTCGACACCTCAATAACACAAACGGGCAATAAAAATATGACGGCCGTGATAATCCCCTTTTCACTCTTCATTCCACCTGTTAGAGAAACACGGCCTCACCTTGAGAGCTGCTGTCTCTGAGGGTCAAGTGGGCCGACGGCCTCTGGGCCACCGAGGTCATGAACTTTGACCCCGAGGTGTTGAAGGGGCGAGGCATGGTTCTGGCCTCTGGGGGGGGGGAGGAAAGTGTTAGAATAAAAATGGCGGTTGTTGGATTGTGGTGTGTGTGAGAGAGAGCGAGTTCCTCACCTATGAAGGTTTGTTTGGAGATGATGTTCTCCGTCACCTGAAAGAAAACCAGCAGCGATGTGAGAGGAGAACAAACGAGCGTGGAGTTAATTATTAACCTGCGATGGTTTCTCTGCTGTGTAAACACTGGCTGAGGTTTATTCTGTTCTTAACTCGAGTCACTTTGACCACCTGTTGATTTGGATAAAAAACACACAACCCTGTAGATATCTTATATGTGCTGAGAGGACAGAGCAGCTGTAGAGTTATACGATGGAGAAGCAGATATGAAGCGCTAATAAATCTGTTTCTTATGTTTTCTATCTTATAGTTAGAGGAGACAATATTTATATCATAACTTCCATGTTACGTAAAGTTCCTCATGGCGTCTTAATTCTGCTTTTACTGTAAATAAAAATCTTCACAGATAACTAGCTCCTCCCTCTCTCTCATGCATTGCATTGTGGGAAAACAGCATCTGTCAACACCACTCTGTCACTTTAGTGTATATGGTAGTACTGTGAAGGCCCTTGTGGTGTTTTTTGCTGTCTGAATGTGCCATATCGCTCTCCAAACAAGGTTCTGATTAAGTCTGGTTTGAAGTTAGAAGACGGGCCACGTCTTCCTCCTCCTCCTTTCATCAGCACAGTAATTAACCACAATATTAGACCTCTCCCTCTTTTCTTGCCAACAGCAATACATCGACATTTCAACTCCGTTTCATCTTCACCAGATGGAGACGGGGACACACACACACACACACACACACACACATATGAGCGCTTTCTGTTGACCTTGTTTTTGTCTTTCTCACTTTGTAAATCAAACCTCAGTCGCTCCTTTGAATGTATTTTCAGTTATAAGAATTTCTACCTTTTCGCCCGCGTCCGACCGACTTCCGAGCAAAAGGTCACAGGTTTAATCACCTGTTACTGGTCATGTGGGCTGTCTGAAGTCCCCTAAGCAAGGCACTATCCACCCTGTGGTATAAATCTCCCTGATTAATGTGCTGAAAAGCCACAAAACCTTGAATATGATGAATTCCACCGGTGTTTTTTAAAACGGTCATCCAGCTCTAACCGTGGTGTTGCGCTTGGCAGCGAGCCCGTTTTCTCCCCAAACTGAACGCTCGACGCAGCGTGGCTAATTGGAGGTGATGGCTCTGGGGTTTGGGGTTTGGGGTTTGGCGTGTGTGTGTGTGTGTGTGTGTGAATGCAGTGTATACCCTCTTTACTTTAAGGGGATGTGGCTGTGGTCGAACAAGAAAAGTAAAAAGAAATGTAAAAAAAGCCGCTTGAGCGCTCTCAGGCCTGTGTTTCGGGGCGACATGTTTTCCATAGGAGTTCCCGTCTGCTGTCTTGTAGAAGCTTAAACGCTCACATGGGAAACTGTGGGATGGCTAAAGAGTGAACTCCGCCGAGGCTTCGTGCATAATTCATGTTCTGCACAGCGGTGGAAGCTTTCTACGGCCTCCTGAGAGGCTTCTGACTGGCCGTACATTTAGAGGTGAACACCGCCGTCACGCGGAGTTATCCTCCACTTACAGTGTTTTCTTACTCGCACGTTTGCATCATATGCGGTCAGATATTAACACGCTCGCAGTAAAAGTTGTAAAAAACCTGCTTGAAATGAATCTTAAAGACACTAGATTAGGGTAAATGAATGAGACGATTTGAGAATTTATTTCCAGCAGGAGACGTCCATGGAGACGTGGAAACAAAATAACTCAACATGGTGCAACCAAGTACAGATAAAACTCTGGCTGTGCCCAATTAAGTCTTAATTTTTCATATTCAAAACACCAGAAACAACGTAGACCTAAACACACGGCTGTAATCAGGTGTAACTCGCTAGAAACGGTACATTCTTGGCTCCACAGGTGGTTCAAGTGAGATACATTTGGTAGCAGCGTTTAACTTCTTGGCTTGTTGGGATGATTCCAGCTTGAAGTCATTATTCTGTACTTTAATTGAAAGGTCAGTTACTGACATCATGAGATAATCCCAGACGATGAAGGCTTCAGTTTGTTGATGACGACAGCGTGATGTAAATGAAACTAGAGTTAAATTTGTCCGATTTTGTTTTTCCTAATTTAGTCGTTGTCCGTCGTCAAATGTTCCTGCTAGTTTGTTTTTTTTAACAACATTTCGTCGACCTCATGTTGTTGTTTTTTTAGTCAAGATTTAGTTTACTTACTCAAAAAAACTAGAAGTAATTTTAGTGTGGCTTTAGTCAATGAAAACATGTCTTTCTTCTTTTAGTCGTCAGATTATATTGAACATTAGCAACAACTTTAGCCAAAATATTGAACAAAACTGCTACTTTAAAATATAAAAATCTAATATTACATTTCCTCTTCATTGCCAATGAAAACAAAGAGATTTTGGAAAATGTTTTTGTTTGTTAAACTGCAACGATATCGCATGTTGATTTAGTCATTGACGAACATATTTAGTTTTCGTTCACGAAATTTACACGGAAAGACACGAATGTTTTGATTATACCAGCTGATCCTCGCTATAAGAAAGAGGTTATTTGTACCATAAAGATCCATGAAAGCAAAACCTTTCATATATTTACAGAGAGAGTAATTTAACATTTATTTCTATAAGAAAATAGAAAAAGACTTGTTTTCTCATGTCAAAATATTCATTGATATGTCAGGATAACCATGTAACAAGATAATTTGGTTGTGATCGTGAGAAAGGATCTCTATACATTCTTCTTCTCTGTATTTGACAGTAGCATGAGATATATTAAGATACTTTATTGTCCCCAAGGGGGGAATTCAGCTTTGGCAGTAATTCTGCACACATCTGCACCACGCTTAGAATAAAACATCCTACAGACATTACAGTTGGGAGATAAAAAAAATACATTATAAACATCAGAGAGACAGAATACATGAAACAAAAATACAACGGTACCACTTTCTAGTGGTTTTCTTATCGAGTCGTCTTGTATACATTCGGAGGAAGGAAAGCGTGCAGAAACGGCATGAAACTAAAGAACAGGAAGCGTCAACCTTTGAAAAACAATCTACAGCAAATTGAACTTTTTCTCAATTTTTCTGTCCCTCAATCAAGTGGATTCCAGCGCCATGTGTTGTTTTTTTGTGGAGCCACGTCGTTAGTATTTCTCTCGGTTGCCGTGAGCAGCATTCGGCTGCAACAAAGGAGCAGGAGTCGTCGTAAATCTGTCTTCTTTAGATGCTGCCGTGGCTTCTGGGACAACCCAGACGGCTCCCTGGGCATATATTCTGTAAAGTGAGCCAGATATCTCACTCCAGCGGTTATATAAGTAGCAGCTCTGCAGGCAACTTCTAGTTTTTATCACATTCACCTTTTGTTTAAGGGGATGTCTCTTTTAAAGAGAGAATATGGGTTAAAGGGTCACCGCATGGCATGCATGCCTGAGGGGCACCAACATGACCTCTGGTGACTTAGGCGCCCCTGAAACGTGTTTCTCCGACACTTCTTGCTCTCCAGAATGTTTGTTTGCGGTTTGACGGACTGCTGACATCCCTCCCTCCTCTCTGGCATCAAGTAGAAAGTCACTCTTTCGCCTCCAGCTAGTTCAGAACGCAGCAGCGAGGCTTCTCACATGGATCCGATGAGTCGGATTTCAACTCTCTAACCGTCTCGAACTCACTGAAATGCTTTGTGATGAACGTTTTTTTTTTAAACAATAAATACTGTAAGACTGACCTCGCTAGAGGGTCACTTCCTTGTGGCAGAGAGCACATTGGGATTAAGTCATATTTATGTGTTTTCGTCTTGGTTTTACTCTGAAAGAGCCTCGTTAAGTGGGCTGCTTTTTGTTTCCAGGGTATCGTCCTGCAGCCTGTGATGGGACAAGTTCACTGCCAGCGTGACCTTTATGTGTGTGTGTGTGTGTGTGTGTGTCTCTCTCTAAGGGCTTATGACAGCCTGTAAAGCCATGAGTCTTCAAAACCTCTCCAGCTGCAAAAACACCAACAACCAATGAACCCTGAACTCTCCTCTGTCTCCCTGTTTAGAACAGACGGACAGAAATAGTCCGATTTCCTCACACTTTGTCTGCAGCCAAACGTAAAAAAAAGCATAAATAACAGAGACATGAGGGGGTAAATGAGAGGTTGCTGTGAGTAAATCCTTGTTGGCTCGTCTCGTCCACATGTACAGCCTCCTCTCCAGAGTACAGATGTCACAGCAGGTGTTGCAGCTCTAAAGCTGCACTCCAGGAGACTTTAAAGAGACTAATTCATAAAAGTTGAACCCAGCAGAGGCTGTGATGACCTGACTTTTAGTCCTCGTGGGCCGAGCTCCAAAAAACACCAGATCCTACACCTCCCACAATGCAACTCTGTCTTGGTACTGCACAATATGCAAGAAGAGCTGAGACACTTTTATTCTCTGGCTTTTAATTGTTTAAACTTCTTTCTATTTGAATCTTGCTTTATTTATCTCCACGTCGATGCACATTTATGTCTCTATGTGTAAGCTTATATGTGCATCTTTTTGGTGCAAAACTTGTTTTCTTTTCTGAGAACTATATAAATGAAACAAAACAATTTAAATCAAAGGATTGTACGTCAAAATTATTAGTATTTTGCCTTTTGTGTCCAAACTTTAAAATATCTTTTTCTTGCCGTTTTGACTTCAGAATGCAGCGCCAAAAGTCAGAAGTTGGTGGGAAAAAAAACTCCCAGAGAGCGAAAGATGACGGACAATTATGAGGAAACGAGAGAAGAGGAGGAATGAGGATTAAAAGTGAAGGAAAAAAAGGTTTCGGGAAACAGAGAGGAGAGTCGGAGTGGACAGGAGGACTGAAAGAGAGGATTGAGAGGAAAAGAGGGACAAGTATGCACATGAAGGAGCGTTTCTTCTGCAGATTAGCAGGAGCTGCAACCCAATACTTTAATATGCTGCTCGACCCTGACAGGCCTGGACCGGCAGTGTGTGTGTGTCCAGATTTAGTGTGCGTGAAAATGTCTTTTTTTTTGGGGGGGAGTGTAGTGCAGAAACACTAAAGATTGAGAGGAAATACCTGCGTGTTTGTGCGTCTGATGGCTAATGT